ATGCGCATTCCAGTCCACTCTCCTTGGCTGCCAGGTTACATCGATGTCACACAAACCATTATATTAGCAATGGCTGGACTCTTCCTGGACAACCCCTATATACTGTGTGTCTGTACCTACCTGTTTGTTACGGGTTGGGGAGGGGAGGTTAGAAGAGGGAAGGGATGCATTCCAGCGTTAAGTGCTGGCAGTGGAGTGGGCCTATTGAGAAACTGAGAGCTGGGCTGGTGCTTCTCAGCGTGAAACAGCCTGCTCGGGGCTCTGGGGCAGGAGGTGCGTGGCGTGTGGGGACTGAGGAGGAGATGGGCGGGCTGGGGCAGGCATGGGGCGGGCAGTGAAAGGGCAGAGTCGGGTAGTGGCGGCCGAGTCGCAGAGGTTCCTGTGAGCCATGCCGTGGCCTTTCCGTTTCCTCGGATTCGAATGTGGAGTAATCGCAGGCCTATTCTGTGCATTCAGTGAAACTATTGATTAAATGCAGAGCGCTGGCCTGATCTTCCTTGGTCTTCAGCAGGGATCAGTCTATCTGCTGCGTCATAGAGAATAAATTACGTACAGTGGCCAGGAAAGGGAGAGCGGTGAGGAGCTGTTAAGGTGATCCTCGTGCCATGACGGTGGCTCATTCCGGGATTGCAGCCGTAAGGGAAGAGAAATAGTCGAGTTCTGGATAGATTTTTTTTTTAATACTGTATCAATACATACCAGGTTTAACATGCACAAAGCCAAGAAAACCAACAATGCCAGATACTGAATTTATATTGCACTGTCCTTTGAACACCCAGCAGAAATAAACTGCTGAATGCAGATACCATGCAGTGCAAAGGTTCTGGATAGATTTTAAAGTTACTGCTAATAGGGCATTGTCACACGTAGGATGTAGGTTTAGAAAAATTTGCTATACTTTGTGACAAATTCAGGAAGAAAGAACAAGAATCCAAAAAGTGAATTTCCTACTGCCCCAGGAGAATTGTATTTAACTCTGTTCTCTACATATTTGTAGTAACTTGTCTGTGCTGCCTGTCAGGCACCTGAGTCGATTGTTGGACCATTACGTCTTGGGTAGTTTCATTGGAGATTAAGAAAGTTGCACCCAGGAGAATGTTTAGTTTTGAATCAAAGAAGGTGCATGGCTTCAGGAAGCAAGGGCCCTGCTTGAGGACAGTGACCAGTCCCAGCAGTGGTGCTTCTGCCCCTTCGGGTTTCTGTGCCCCGAAGCACACGTGTAAGCAGCAGAACAGCCGTGGTGTTTCCCACAGGTGTGAGGAGGAATGGACGTGTCTGTTTGGGACTTGGGTGTTCCTAAAGTAGAGGTCTGGTCACTGACATCAAACGTTTCAACTGAAGGTGTGATTATTTACTTCAGTCTGAGGCCAAGTGTGGATGCTTCCAGCCTTAGCTGGTAGTTCAGCCTGGACAGTGTGGGTGGGTTTTGTGGCCCCCACCTTCTTTTACTCCTTCCCACCCCACTCCCCGCTTTATGCAGATAAGTCAGGAGAAGAGCCCTGTGTGCACTTCAGCTGCACATGCAGCTGTGCCTGTGTTTGGTGTCTGGGAGCAGAAGAGGGCTCTGTGGAGCTCAGTTCCGCCGGGACCCACGGTACCGGAGTGAAGGGCGAGCAGGGCAGGGTTTGAATGCAGCGGGCGGATGTGTCTCAGGGCACGGCTGCAGGCAGCTCTGTGTACAGCCGGCCTGAGAGCCGGGCTGCGGCCGTGAAAGAAAGTGAACGGACTCATTCACACCCAGTTACTCTTTCGGGGAGTAATTTGTTCGGTTTAGCTGTTGGGATTTGATCCATAGTCCTGGGAAATGGAAAGGAGAGAGAAGAAATTGAGATGTCTGTGGCATACAACTGGGGCACGTTTTAGCATTTTGTTTTTTGGTGACAAAAATAGTGTGTGCAATGCAAGTTTTTTCAAGTATTAAAGACATGAATAAATTGCAAAGCCTCTCCTACCTTCAATTTTATTGCTAGGAATAATTACTGTTTATAATCTGCTGTCTTCCAGAACATTTTCTCTGTGTATGTCTTTATAGCTGGACACAAATTTTTTAAATATAATTGGAATTATGTTATAAATATTGTTGCAATTTGGTTTTTTTCTTTTATTGCACTCCATGTATCTTAGAAATAACTGTACATCAAAACTAATACTTTAATAACAGTGTTCTGGGGCGGATTTTTAGATGTAGAATTACTGGGTCATTGGTTAAGCACATTTAAAATTTTCTCAGCACTGTAATGCTCTCCTCAGACAGTCCCAGGCCCCATTCCTTCTGATTGCCACAGAAGTGGGGGCAGCCTTCCCCCGGCTGCCCCCCCGTTCAGCCACGGCAGGGTGTGCACGCGGGACCGGTATTTCTGTTGCTCGGCGCCAGGGCGGGCCCGTGACACGGCTGTGCAGGCCCTCCTGGGGCCAACCGCTGTCGTGCTCCTCTCCGGGGGCCGGTGCACCCCGCCTTAGAGCTTACGCTTAAACTGGGCTTTCCTTGTGGGGGAGTGTTTAATCACTCATCCATTTTAATTCTTCTAATTACTTTCTTTTAATTACCTTCTGTGTTTTGAAATGACAAAAGAATCTCGTGAAAAAATAATGTAATTGAGGTTAGTTCATTGTAGGCAAGGAAAATTAGACAATATTTTTCCCCAAGGTTGATACCTTGATATTAAGGTTAGCTCCCAAAGAAAGCTGGTTTGGTTTTTTGTTTTTTGGGTTTTTTCAAACCACTCAGATAGGTAATGCAGAGAGTAAAATTCTCCCTCAAAGACACAAAATCCCCCTCCAGTAACAGCGCAGTGTCTTTATAAGGCAGATCTTGACCTAAATTCCACAGTCCTTACATAACTGCAGGGCTTACGCCAAGCTGTCCAGACCAATAGTGGCTCCACAGGAACATGGGAGGTCCTTTTTTGGCAGCTTCTTCAAGTGTAACCTCAGCAAAGTCCTCAGTTTCCTAGAAAGAATGGTTAAAAGAAAGCAAAAGCTAGGACTTAGAGTCAGAAAGAACCTTGAGGTCCCCGTGTTATCTATCGGTCTGCCTCTCACTGACATTGCCTCCCTGTCGAGGAGTCTTGCAGAGCCGGCCTTCCCCGGGATTCTCTGACTGTTTACATCCCGAAGCTCCCTTCTCAACCTGCAAATGGGGCAAGAGGCTAAGCCAGGCCAATCTTTACACTTCTGAGGTCACCCTCCCTGGAAAAAGGAGAGGCCGTGCCAGCCTGTCACGACTGTGGTCGCGCCCAGTCTCACGCCCTCCTGGTGACTCTCCGCTGCTCACAAAGTCGTTCCTTTCAGAAAGACCTCCTTCCTGGGGAGACTCTGAAGCAGCCTAACCTACAGGGGCAGGGGGGAGCCTTACCACCCCCCCCCCCGCCTCATTGGTCGCGTGACCTCCCGCTGCATCCCTGGCGCATCTCCCCGCACCCTGTCTGTCCCTGCAGGTTCCCTAGTTGCTGCACCCCACGACTTGTGATGCTTCTCCCTTGATTCCACGGCACTTCTCTGCCCACAGCCCAGCTTCTTAGGCTGATTCTCATGCATATTCCGCCTAGACTTGCTGGGATAGTGTACAGTATTTATCTGTAGAATTGGCTGCTCCTGAAGCTAAAATGGTATTGAATTGGCCAAAAAGTTCATTTAGTTTTTTTCATAAAATAAAAAATACATTTTTCTTTTTCACCAGTAACTTTATTGATTTGGATATTTGGAGTATGATATTTTGGATACCATTGACTACTAGTGGGTAGAGGCCAGGGGTGCTGCTGAACATCTTCCAATGCGTAAGACAGCCCCACAGCAGTTGTTTGTCCAAAGTGTCAATACTACAGGAAACTTTGCAAACCACTTTGAAAAGAAATAGATCTATTAACCTTCCTTATGATCTTTATACTACTTCCAGAAATGTAGATTTTTATTTTTCAAGTTGATATTCTTTTTCAGTCTGAATTAAATTAATTCTGATAGCATTCCATTCTCTGAACTATTGTCAGGCATATGGTTTCTGAATTTCTTGGCACATAGGCTCTTTTTCTCTCTGTTTTAATTTGGGTTTCAGAAAGATTATCTTGAATATTGAAATGCCTGTATTCTTCAAGCCAAGATGAATGCAAACTTTTATGTAGACATCTAAAATGTACTGTGAATTTGTCACCCAGTATAATTTAGGGTACTTGAAAGCTAAAGTTTATGGCAGCACTGCCAAAGTTCCGCATAGAAAATGGTATCTTTGCCGCTAAGGCCACAACCACACACTCAGAAGATGTAACAGTGTGACTCTGGTGTCACATTTAAACTAGTAACTCAAAGGGTCCCATCCAGAAGAGAGCATCTGGGAAGGTTGGGGACACTTGGAATACTAGCTCTGAGGGACTCTTACAAGGACAGCAGGGGCTTGTTTCACCTGGGGAAGATCAAGGCAGGTATGGAAACTTGTTAGATACCTGAATGCCTATCAAATAGAGAAGATGGTGTGTCCTGAGTGGATCCAGAGAACAGTAGACCCACTGGTGAAGGTCATAAGGAACAGCAGACCTTATATTTAACAACACGGAGAAGACCTTGACCCCAATAACAGGCATCCAGATGAAAATATGCTACTTAAGAAACAATGTTTTGGCCCTGGCCGGTGTGGCTCAGTGGACTGAGTGACAGTCTGTGAGCTGAAGGGTCACTGGTTTGATTCCTGGTCAGGGCACATGCCTGGGTTGTGAGCCAGGTCCCCAGTTGGGGGCATGTAACTGATTGCTGTATCTCTCGCGCATCGATGTTTCTCTCCCTTTCTTTCTCCCTCCCTTCCCCTCTCGCTAAAACTAAATAAATTTTTTAAATCTTTTTTTTTAAATAAAGGAACTCCTTTTCTCCCTGTAGCTGTTGCAGGAGGGGAGGTAGCTGTGTTACGGTGGCAAGGAACAGGGAATTGAGGGATTGGGTAGATGGCCTGGGTGCCACCCATTCCCGAGAGCCTCTCCTGGTATCATTTCTCTTCCCCTTCCTTTTCTTAACAGTTAGAACAGCAGAGGCAGCAGTTGCTTACTGAACGCCAGAACTTCCACATGGAGCAGCTCAAGTACGCAGAACTGCGGGCCCGCCAGCAGATGGAGCAGCAGCATGGGCAGAACCCACCCCCAGGGCACCAGCACTCGGGAGGGCCCGGCCTGGCGCCCCTGGGAGCAGCGGGGCACCCCGGCATGATGCCCCACCAGCAGCCCCCGCCCTACCCTCTGATGCAGCACCAGATGCCGCCACCCCACCCACCCCAGCCAGGTGAGAGGGGCCCTGCACACAGGCGAGGCCGGTGGCCGTGGGACACGGGCCTCGGGCTACACATGCTGCCGGTGACATCTGACTAGCACTGTTCAGGACGTCCGTGTCATCCAGGAAGTTGTAGACAAACGAGGTCTGGTTTCATGGCCACCGGCATGTGATGCCTGCTGTGCTCTTCTCCCAGAGTCCTCTTGGAACGGGGCCTGCCTTCAGGCCGGTCGGCCTCTGAACGGGCAATGTATAGGGTCTGGCACAAGTAACGTCCCTTTATATTACAAAATCCTAAGCTTCTAATTCTGTAACAGTATCACACTCAAACACACCATGTGACATTTTAGGTGAAATGTTCGAACTGCTGCGCATCTCGTGTGAGACACTCAGGTACCCAGCCACCCTCACTCAAGCATGCCTCACGTCTGCCGGGCCTATATGTCCCTGTGTGTCTTCAACATGAACCTTTTAGGGCAACTGTACCCTTTTTTTTTTTTAACTTAAAAGATATCTTCAAAGATAGACACACAAAGAATAGTACAGTGAACTCTATGCCCCAGCTTCCACAACCATCACCTTTTTGCCATTTTTAACTTTCTTTGTTATGGAACCATTCAACTATAGACAAGAGTGGAGAGAATGGTATAATAGTCCCCCAGCACCTATTGCACGGCTTCAAGATCACTGAGGTTTTACATGTTCCTCTTGCTTTGGCGGGGGAGAGACTTCAAAACGTACCTCCAGCCAATGGAAATCTTGTTCTTTAACATAGCCTGCTATCCTCACACCCAAGAAAAGTAACCCAAGTTCCTAATAGTATTAGTTAAATGTCTTTGAATGCTTCATATGTTTGAATCAGTATTCAAATAAGGTCCGATGCTGCATTTGCTGATAGTTCTCTTAAGTCTATTTTGACGTGTTAATTTCCTCTCCTTTTTTCTTCTTTTTTTAAAAATGTTATTCATGAATGGAAGAAGCCAGCACTTAGACCAGTGGGCATGCCCAGTGGCACACTCAAGGTGCACGGTGTCGCTGCACCTGTCCGCCCCGTCTTCCCAACCCCACCCCGCGCAGCTCCCATAAACCAGAGGATTCCTCTGGATACTTTAGCAGGTTCAGGTTCACTTCTAGGGGGCTGGTATTTTTCCTCCACTGTCATTTGACTCTTCGTGGCATTAATGTTGGACAGTGGTTTTAGTGTTGCTGGGCTGAGCCATCCACTACCAGGTTCCCTGTCAGGTTTCACCCAGGGTTTACCTGCCACGGAGAACGCACACTAGATCCTTGTTTTCATCCAGCATTGCAGCATGGTGAGATTTCTGAATTTATTGCCCCTTCTGCACTTGTTTACGTATATTAATTTTGCATTTATTAGTGACTCTTTTATTTTTAAAAAACATTCTTCCTTAATCACTTAGTTACCCTGTAAATCAGTCCTTGGAGGAAAGGCTGAGTAAATGCATCATCCTTTCACTTACTAGTTATTTGAGGAGTGTCGCTACCCACTGCACCCCCGTCTCCAAAGATGATCAGCAAGGGGTTTTTCTATTGTGTGTGTATGTTTTTAGTTTTGTGAATTTTTGTATGTTTTACATGTTTCCATTTATTATGGGTGTTATTCTTTTCCATGCCCAAATTGTCCTGTCTTCAGCCTGTGGGAGCCCTTTCAAATTGGCTTTTCTTCAAGACCTTTTAATCACCTGGAAAGTTGAGCTTATACTTCTTTTAAACTTAACTACCTACATCATTAAAACTAAAATGCCCTTTCAATTCCAGCTTACTTATCCCCCACGCTTTTTCCCTTGGAAGGCTGGCTGCGCAGGGGCGCGTTGCATGTGGCTCTAGTAGCCATCGTCCCGTAAGTTTATACTTGCTCTGGAGTGATGTGCCAAGGGCTGAGCTTCTGGGACAGGATGCGGATTCTTTGGCCAAGGCACGCAGCGGTGAGCTGAGATAAATAGACACAGACCTTTGGAAGCCTGAGAAGGTCCTGACATGACTAATGTCAGTTGGCCTGACCTCCTCAAATGGCAGATTTTCTAAGTCTCCTCCTGGAAATAACCAGGCATGGTTGCCTGAGGAAGTCGCAGCTGCAAAAACGATGATCTGATAACTCGTGTTATCAACATGAGTCTTTCTTTTTTTAATATTTTATTTATTTGTAGAGAAAGCACAAGGGAGGGAGAGAGAGAGGGAGAGAAACATCCATCAGTTGCCTCCCACACACCCCCAACTGGGAACCTGGCCCGCAACCCAGGCCTGTGCCCTGACTGGGAATTGAACCAGCAACCTTTTGGTTTGCAGGCCAATGCTTGATCCTCAGAGCCCCACCAGCCAGGGTTCAACATGAATCTTTAATCCACAACCCAAAATATGTTTTAGATACTCATTTTTATTGGCTATACTTAAAGATGGGGCTGGGTTTACTTTGGGGAGCATTCATTTACACACACACACCCCCCCCCACGCACGTTAAGTTGAAGTTGTGGCGCTTAACTACCATCTTGAGACTTAACCACTAGATCAAAATGGTGTTTGTGGATGTAGAGTTAGAAGTCAGCCAGGCTCACAACACACGGTGCTCTCTTCCTCAGTCCTACTCTCTGTCTGCTTGAGCGGATATTAAATTCCCTGTCTGAAATACCATTTTCTTCAAAGTTAAGCTTTCAGAAGATAGGAATGCCTAACAGAGTAATGATCGTAGAGTGATTTTTTCAAAAACAGAAGTTATTTTAGAAGTTTACTCCTGAAAGTATTGGGATAAATGTTTAGGTTGAAGTTCAGTGTAGCTACTGGATATTTGGTTCTCGGTGGTATTGGACCACCGTCAGCCGAGCGACAGTTCACAGAGAACCTCTGAGTAGTCCCAGCATCTGCAGTCAGCTTGTGAAGGATGGACAGAGAGACGCTCTGCCTTGTCCCCTAAGTCACATCCTGGTGAGAAGAGGTGTGTGAAGGTCACGCCCTCACTCACGCATCACCTGATTCTCGTCTTCACGTCACTGTTGAGGAGCTGAGGCATGGCTGGGCCACACACCTTGCTGCATAGAGGACCCAGGGTTCACCCTGGGCTGCGTCTGATTCCAAAGTGATATCCCAGCGCTGCCCCATGACAGGACTGACAGGCCCAGGTACAACTGTCCTCTTAGCAAGGCGATACAAAAGAGGTACAGTTCATAAAAATAGTCGTTAGAATAAAAATGGGTCATTTTTCTCTCTTTCCTTTCTCATTGAAATTGGCTTATGTGACTGCAAAGGATCATTATATGCATGAGAGCATTTTTCTTAAATCTGATGAAGTAACAATTTTTTATTGAAATACGATGTACATATGGAAAACTAAACAATCATAGCTGATCTTGGTGGCTGAGTTTTAACAAAGAGACTCGGTGACCGGTGCCCAGAAGCCCCACCGGACTCCTCCGTCTCCTCCCTCCCAGGGTAACACCTGTCCTGATCTCTAGCACACAGACTCATGGGGCTGGTCTTGACAGTTCTCTGGATGGAATGACCCAGTGAGTCTATGTCTGACTTCTTTCACTGCACATGGTATGTGTGAGGCGCGTTCACATTGTTGTGAGCGGTTGTCTCTTCTGTTGGCTGCAGTTTTCTTCCTAAAATCGTGGGGCTCCACCACTCTTACTTGTCCCTTGTTCTGTTGACGGTTTCAGTGTTCTAAAGAGTAAGTGCCGCTCTGAATGTGCACATGTATGGATCTTTGGGGACAGAGATACACATTTCTGTCGTGTCCCCAAGCAAACGTGTGCATCTAGAACAGGCCATAGGATATGCATAGTTCACATTAGTAGACACTGCCACAATTTTCTTGCATGGCTATTTATACAGCCTCCAGCCATGTGAAACCTCCAGCGACTCAAGGTAGTCATATTTTGTAATTGCCCCTTTTGTGGGTTGCTTTGGAGTTTGAATGTAAAAAAAAAAATCAAGTGTGTTAGTAAATTAAGAACAACAGTAAAGTAAATCCATAATTAGTCAAAAGTTGCCTTAGTATCACCGGTGCAGAAAAAGCTGGGTGTGACAGGTGACTCTGGCACAGCAGAACCCAGAGACCCGCCGACGGGGCAGGTGAGCAGCTCTGTGCTGCATGAGGTGGAGAACAGCTTCGGGCTCTAGTTTGCTGCCAGTTGAAGCCTAGCACTGTGAGCCATGGTCCTTTTGGTGTGTGCTTCCTAAGTTCTGGAAAAGTTAGCAGGCCACAGCATCTGCTAGGAGCTGAGGGTAGTTATCCACGTCAGTGGGCCAGCTCTGGCATCGGCCAGACTGGAGGGTGGGTGAAGGGAGGGCAACCCCAGCCTCTCAAAGCCAGCAAGACTAAGGACGCAGTGAGAAGATCACGGCAGGTTTATCACCAAGCGCTTCGTGTGCCCAGCTTCCTGACTGAGGTTCTTAGAGGTGAGTCATTGTGTAGGTGCAGGACCTTGTCTCCACCAAGCTGGCGTCAGCATGTAGCAGAGCCCGTTGAAGTAGCAGCTCCGAGTGGGGTGTCTGCGGGGCTGTCACACACACACAAAAGGCCTCGGGCAGAGTGGCTAGTGTCAGCTGACACTGTGCATACTCCATTTACTGCGACCTCTGCGGTCCCCCTCTATACCCCCCCTCCACCCCCCGACACACACACACCTTTTTAATTCATTCGGACACTTAGAATTTTGTATAGAGGGCACTGTGTACGTGCTGCTCATTCTCTGTTCCTCGGCCCTTTTATTTGGTCCTACTCCGAACTCACCTGAGGACTCCCACCTTTTCTGGGTTTTGTCCTTGTCTCAACACAGTGTCCCAAGTGATTTGTTTCTACCAACAGAAGGTAAAGGAAGTACCTGTAGTAGAATGTTTCTGATGTACGTTTGGCAAATGGAAACGGGGGGAGGCCCCAGCCATCTTCATTACCACCCTTAGGCTCTGCTGCTCTCAGAAAATGCAGAGTACTGCATCTCGTCTTTCCATTTAAGTTGTAAAGCAGTGTGTTTTCCTGGAGTGATTCCTGCCTT